AGTTCCCTTGAACAGGGTTTTTATATACATTGATTTCTTTGCCAACTGCATCTCAGGGATGCTCAAAAGGTAAAACTTTCCACTACAACACAGTTCGAAGTTAAGAAAATAAAAACAGAATCCATTTCTTCATTCACAGTCTCTAGAACTCCAAATAGCGCTTTGCATATGCAAAGCATTCGAACAATGCTATCTTTGTTTATCCTTTCACCCATCAAAGTTTAAACATTCCAAATAAAGAAAGATTTATTTTCTTTATGAAAAGTCTTACATCTCTTCTAAGACTAAATCTCAATTACTTTTACAGCACTGATGAAAAATGGGGAAAGCAATGAGCATTCACTAATATTACAACAAGTTAATGAAGGCAGGGCTTTGAGGGAATTGCTTCACAAAGAGCTTCTAAGTCTCCTATGCGCTGACTTGACAAACAAGTCTCAGTAAGGAAATAATTCCCCAAATAATAATTCATGTACATAGCCTAAGATGAGGGTGGTCTCTAGCTTTCAAATAACAAAACTGCTGGGTGGGAATTTTATTTCTGTGTTTACTGTAGTTGAGGGGATGGTAATTATCTTGAGGTTGTGCCATCCAAATACAGAAGCAAAAAAGGAGAAAAAAAAACCCACTACTGAAAATTTCTTCGTGACAGAATTATTCCAACTCAAGACACATCTGTAGTTTGTCTGCTAGAAGTTCTTATTTCTGAGACAGGAAAATGGACTTTGTACAGTAAATTGGGAAAAAGAGAAATGGTTCCATAGTTCCACCAATCCTTCCCTCCCTGAGCCATTCCCTCCCTTACCAAAGTACTAAGATTCTGAATATAATCATAATACATGACAATAGGGCTGTCTCATGAGAGGGTTTGGTATTTTTACCCCAAGGGCTTGAGAGAGGTGAAGGTATGGCTCAAAGGTGAAGCCTGGAGCTCCACTGTGCATTTATGCTTTCTCTGAACACTTCATTAACAATACCACTGGTATCTGTTCTATCTCCCTAATGTTTACTAGCTGTATAATCTTGGGTATGTTAATTAATCTAAAAGAGCCAATTCTGTAAAACAGGGATAACTGGTACCTAGCAGGGTTTGTGGATATTACATGAGATGTCATACATGAAAATTGCCTAGAACTTCCACTTCTGGCCATAACAGAATACTTGGTACAGGACTTGTGCTTCTATGGTAAACAACTAGAAAACTTGACAAAATATCTGAAACAACTGTTTTCAGACACCTTTTTATAACACAATCTATATAACGATAGCATATGACACTGATCCCTGAGAAAAAGAACTCAAACAAGGTACAGCCATATGACCAACCATGTTTTCTGCCTGGATGCACTTTTGGGATAATGGCACAGGAAAGCGGAAGCCAGCAAGAGCAGGTAGTCTCACCAAGAAAGGCAGGAGGTCACGAAGGCTGAAGTAGGTGATATTTGCTCTGCAGAGTACAAAGGAAGAGAAAACTAGAGAGCAAAAGAGATTCAAAAACCTGCAGTGAGGTCCCTTTGAGTCTTGGGCCGAATACTAACCCACACACTCTTAGAGTGAGATCCCAAAAGCCAAGCCAAGAAAACTATTAGGGAAAGAATAATTACCAGGGAATTGTAAGCTAAAACAATTTTCACAGCTCACACAGGGTTAGAAAACATTTGAGTCTGACCAGCCAGAGTAGAGAAACTTTACTGAATATGCAGGCATTCAGATGCAAAAAAAGTCATGTCTTTGTAGTAGCACTAAATTACCAAGAGAGCAAAGGTTATTCCAGGCATGCCTTAATAAAGCTTAGAAAATGAGACTCATTAAGGATCAATCTGTTCGGTACCTAACTTGACTGCCTGCCAAAATAGAACTCAACACTCTTTGAAGAAGACAACAAAAGCCAGATGCTCAACAATGAAATACTCACAATGTCCAATATCCAATCAAAAATAACCAGACATGTGAAGAAGCAATAAAATGTAACCCAAAAGCAGAAGATAAATCAGTTAAAAGGAAACCCAAATGACATAAATGATGGAATAAGCAGATAAAGACTTTTAAAAAAAGCTACTATTAAATACATTCAAGGATTTAAAGGATAATATGAACCTAATGAGGAGAGAATGGAAGACAAAAAAGAGAGAGAGAGAGAAACCAAATGCATCTTCTCACTCTGAAAATCACAATATCTGACATGAAAGTTTCATTGGATTGGATTAACAGCTGATTAAGACACTATGGAAGAAGAAAAAAAAACCCGCAGTGAACCTGAAAACCTATTAATACAAATTATCCAAACTGAAGCACAGCAAGAAAGATGGTTGAAAATAAAACAATAGAACCCCATTAATCTGAGCTACATTAGTGTAACTGGAGACTCAGAAGGAAAAGGGGAAGGGGTTCAGAAAAAATAAGGGAAGAAATAACGGCAAGTAATATTTTAATTTGATGAAAATTACAACTCCACAGATCCAAGTAACATACACAGTGTCACATTTAGAGGGAATGACCCTTTGGGAACACTTGTTCTGGAAAGCATTTTCTTTTTTTAAGGATTATATTGAAAGAAAGTGTTTCTTGACACAACATAAAGTTGGATGTAATGTGATGAGATTATCTCACAGTACACAGAGGAAGATCTCATTTCTGGGTGTTCCATGGCCAGTAAGAGGTTGCTGGGGTGTGAAGAAGATGTTCCTTACCTACTTTGGTGGCCTGTTAGGATTTCATACTTGTTTAAATGACAAGGCTAATGACCCCTCTAATTTATGGGGTAAGAGAGATACTTTTGCCTACTGTTTTTCTCAGGGCTTTAGAGTAGAAACACCTTCCTACGTTTCATTCACCTAAGAAAACTTGACACTCTGAAAGGAGAGAGAAGAAACTGAATCTTTCTGAGAAGACATGCCTCAGAAAGGTTTCAAAGAGCCTCAAAGGAGAGAGGTTCAGTGAAAAGGAATCCTTCCTGGCTGAATGCACTGCATAATTTTGAAACTGCAGTTAGAGGCAGTTTGCTAATCCAGGCTCATCCCCCTCTAGCCTTTGCAGTTGCTGGGATAATGGGGCAAAATGTGCACAGAAGTGCTTATTTTGCTTATTCCACTGTCTTACTTGATGCTGCATTGGTTAACTATGGCCTTGCTAAACATTTCTCACATTTTGCTTCATCATTAAGAGGAGGCTGTGAATGTGTAAATACACAAATAATACACAACCTTATCAACTCCCAATCTGACCATTCATTTATAGAATCAAGGTGCTTATTACATTCTCTTTCCAGACCCTTTTAATAGTCCTTTGTGGTGATGACAATCTATATAACACAACAAATTGGACAACATGAGTTAATTCACAGGAGGAATATCAGAACATCTGGAAAAAAAGAGAGTTTAAGGGCATATTGAGAATTAACATTTGATGCGGCTGCAAGAATACAGAATGTTAAAATAATATTTAAGATGCTAGGCTATTTATGGGTTTTAATAGTCTCTCCTGCATGTCGTTTCCAAGTTGGCAACAGCAAAACCATAGCAACAGGAAATTCTTCCCTGCAGTGGAGTTTATGAATGCTTTTCTGTTTTCATGACTCAATTCCTTATTTAATTTCCTGTACAGAAAATTAGAGAGATTACTGTAGACTGCGATACAGATGTGCTAATCCAAAGACCTTCTCAAAAAACAAACAAAAAAGACAAAAAAAAACAAAACAAAAAAACAGGTCACAGGTGTCTATGGGTGAATTTTGAGATCAAATTTAAAACTGCCTCCAGACAGTCACACAGCAGAAGTCAACATACTCTAATCAAAATAGATACTTGAGTACTTAACTATTTTATTAACGACTTAGGGAATGGAATGGACAACCCTGTATGTTCATGCACCACAACTAAACAGACTGCTTCATTATTGTGCTTTTAATCAACACATTTTATGAGTCAAACTAATATTATAGCTAAAAAGCCTATTTTCTTAGAGATTAAGGGTAGACCTTGGACAATGATAGAAAACAAACCAAAAAAAACCCTAAATTGAAAGAATGCAAAATAAATAAGAAAACCATGCAAAGGCTGACTGTATAGATAAGTATGAGGATTATGAAATAAATTAGCAAAAGTCAAATATTCTAGAGCTTATGACCAGGTAGTTTACAAGCTTCTGGAGTTTGCAATCACCCCAACATTTAGCTAAGTACAATGAAATTTAGACTCTACTATCTAGGAGCAATTCTGCATGATTTGCTGTCATGGCTCTATTCCAGTCACACCTCTGATAACATTATTTTTCTACTGTCCAATCCTAGCAACTTTGATTATGATCTTCAATTGTTCTTGTGCCACATTCTCCCTCTCTGGCTTCCTCTCCCCAGTTACCAGCATTTTTCGGTAATAAATGGCAATGTTGTTTTACGGGTAATTTAGCAGATGCACATCAACACAGCAGGAGGAAAATAAGCCTATAGGAGGGTATATGTATTTCTTACTTTTGGTGTCAAGCTGTGCACGGTATTTCTCAAATCCTTTGAGCCGAACACGTTCTCCCAATAGCTGAAGGAATTCCTCAAAGGCTGGGCTGGCTGATTCATTGTTGTACATCTCTTCTTCGGTGCTCTGTCCAGCTTTGCAGTACATGATGCCTACCTTCTGCTGATAGTTCAGCTGTGAAATAGGCAATACAAGGCATATAAATATAGACAGATCCACTGGGCACCACTTAAAAGCTACCAAGTATGGTAGGGCACACGCCCAGTAAATAACTAACAATGGGTACATCTTTCTTCCCTTGAAATTCTTGTTTCAATCCTTCTGTCACTCAACCAAAAAAGACAATGGAGCAAACATCTATAATTGTCATGAATTAAAAGGAAAAAAAAAAAATTTTTTTTTTTAAATTAAAATTGCCTGTATGTTAGATGTTGACACTTTAGGTAATTTTTCTTAATGGATTACAAAGTACAAATGAGGCTATACAAAACAGTCTCACAATAAAAGGCAATTCTTTTTCAATGCTCTTCCCCTTTCAAAAAAGAAGGACCTTTACAAATTTAAAAGCAGACGTCCACTTTGCAAAACATACTTTAAAATAAGGTCATTAATGTTCTTGCAAAATTTTTTGGAAAAATTGGGAAAGACTTATCTACCAATGACAGTTTTCCAAAATACTAAATTATAAATCTTGATTATATCTTTGTTAGAGCACTCACATCACCAACAATGTAGTGACAAAAACTTCTTCAAATAGGATTTCCCTAAAGTGGATTGTGTGGATACTTTAAATAGGGCTTTGGAATGGCAAATCATCTAGTTGCAGATATTCTTTCCCCATGTATAGTTAAAAAGAAGCATTCAAGAGATCTAAATATAACACAGCATTAAGGAAAATATTTATTCATCACCGAAAGCCTCATGATTCTGCTAACAAGATATGAGTTTTCAACATAAAGCTTTAGACTTAATTCTTCAGTGCAATCAGTGTAAATCAATACCACAAAATCATATTTGCAAGATGGAACTGCAACCACTACATCATGAAATTTTCGTCTAACAAAAGGAAAGAAGGAAGGGAGGAGGCGGAATTTCAACAGCTAACATCTATTGAGCACCTACTATACGTCAATGGCTATGTTTGGTGTTTAACATATATTATCATACATCTAATCCTCACAAAAGCCCATAAGGCAAATATTACCCTGTTTTACAGATAAGAAAAAAGAATAGAACAGAAGGTAACTAGCCCAGTAGGGACGGACACAAGATCGTGTATTGTTAGCCCTGTGATTCAGCACTATTAAATATAACCGGGACTCAATCAGCCCTGTCTTGCCCTGTTTCTATTCCTACAAAACATCTCTACAACCCCTTATTTGTAATTCTAAAGTTGAAAAGTGAAAACCAAAAGTTAAGCAAACACAGTTGGCAGCAAAATGTGATGAGGCTGATGATACTTTTTATTTATTCTTCCTTGCGTTGAATATTCATACTTTTTTCTACAGAAACATTAATGTGTTTCACTGCAGGATGTTGTCCCAAATCCCACTGGGAATATTACTATATGGTATGTGTGTTATAGTACATTTTTTAAATCTGAAAACTTCTGAATTCTGAAACACATCCAGTCCCTGCTGTTTTACATAGGGACTGTACACTAAACTGCCTTTTTCAGTTTTTCAAACAAAAAGGTTCGCAATAGTGATAACACAGAAAATGTCATAGGGGAAGAGACCCTTGCTTGCTTTTCCCTCCTACACTGCACCCTGTTTAACTGACAAGGAAGCTCAATAGCCTTGACATGACTCATAGACATGAGAGCTCCCTGAACTTCTCCTGTAATTGCATACAATTGACTCTATCTTAAACCGTTAAGGCACTTGATGGTAACCTAAAGGTTGGAGGTCTGAGTCCACCCAGAGGCACCTGAGAAAAAAGTCCTGGTGATCTACTTCCAAAAACCCTATGGAGCACAGTTCTACTCTGATACACATGGGGTCGCCATGAGTCAGAGTTGACTCAATGGCAACTGACCTTCACTGCCTATACTCATGAGTGGAAGGTAAAGTTCTAAGTCTGAAACTTGCAAATAACTGGACACACAGATATTGGAATATTTTTAAAATAGCATACAATTTTATATTGTTGTTGGTTTCATTTTAATTAACAGCATAAACACATTTGAGACTTAGTTTATTTTTGTATACCACACTTAGGAAAAAAAAAAATCAACGTTAAACCTACTTCACACAGATGACATTTAACCCCTTTCCCAGCTGGCCTACTTAATGTCTGAATGTAGCTTTCAGGAGGAGCTCCCACAGGTAGAGATTTCATCTTAGCTTTAGGAATTGATCTGTCTACTATATTAGGTCTCACCGAATAGAAAAGTAGTGGTAGGCTCTATGTCTATTAGAAAAGAAGTCCTTAATACAGCCAGATCCCAGGGCTGACAGTTACCGTATTCTCTTCCTGCAGGGAAGGCCATCAAAGAGATAAAGCAATCTGGAGAAACGAAGGAGCTTTGAGTTATTTGTTGTCTGGCCCTGTGCTTCCCAGATCAGCCTTCACATGCAACAAATGTTAAACAAAAGTCACCCTGTTCAACAGAAAGCATCCTAGTAAAACTGGATTTGTGGATGGCTTTTAAAAGCTTTTTAGATAAAGGCCTAAGATTTCACTGTGCAACATTCAAAGGGATTCATTTACGTAAAAAAAGTTCATTGCAGACAGCAGATAAGTAACAAAACGTCAGGAAGCCCACTGGAAAAGCAAAGTTCAAGGACAATGAGACAATGCTGCCTTCTTTTCACTGGCTTCTAATACCGGAATGAATTTCACCTGCAGATAGGAGAAGGAACTGGTTTTGTTGGTTCTGAAAGGAATGTTCTTAATTTAAGAGGATTAGGAAATTTGTTAGAATGTCAAATTTCCCCCAGTTTAAACTGTGCCAAATGTTGCCTGCTCTTTGCTCTACAGTGACAGTATGACTATATACATTAATTCTCCAATTAAATCATAGTAAGTGGCATTCTCTGAACTCAGGCTCCTAGAATCCTTGGTTAGCAACTATGTTCCCATGAGAAGCTGTTAAGGAGAAGATATGTAAATGTAATAAGGAACATTTCTAGAGAAGGAGCAAATGTAAATGGAGTTAAAGCTATGATTTGGAGGTTTGCTATTGTCATGTGCTTTTTCAAACAACATTTTCTCTTTGAGACACACACAAACATCTGTATGGTGATGTATACGCATATAACGTAATGAGCAAAACAGAGTAAACAGATGATACCAAAAGCCATCCTGAGAACAGGGTGGGCTCATCCATGGTTTAGGATTTTGCTTTGGATAATCTTTGGATCATCTGATAACGTTGCTATTATTCCATGCCTGCATATACACTGTTCATATGGAGCACTGATAGAAATGTTGGGGCACTCAACAATTATCTGTGTTACCAACAGCTACGAGGGGATGTTGAGTTTCTGTAGGGGTGATGGAGAAAATCTGGTAACAGTTAAGGGTGATGGTTGAACATGATAGACCTAATTAATGTCTATGAATTATACATGTGAAGATACATGAAATAATATTTTGCTACTTATATATTTACTACAATTAAAAAAAAAAAAGTTATGATGGTCAGTCGAACAGGACAAAGGCTATATTTGAGATGAAGGTCTTGAATCTCAACAAAGCAAAAGGTATTTCACACTTACCATAAGTGAAGTGGGCACAAACAGTACATAAAATTGCTCTTCCTCTCATAAAATAGGTATTTTAACACAAAATCAAAAAACAAACAAAAACAAAAGATACTGCAATCTTACTTATACAGCCTTGAGTTTCTAGAAAAATGGATGACAAAGTCAGAGCCCTTCAACAGATTTGAAGAACCAAGTTCTCAGAGCCCTTATCGGGTCTTGCATCTTCCCTGATGTCACAACCAGAGGTCACAGGGCAGCACAGGCCATGAAAACAACTTAGCTCTCTTGTTCATACAAATCTTTTTATATTGTCTTAGTTAATCCAGAAATTTAAAATAGTCAATATTCATTTTTAGCTGTAAAACCAAAAATCTGGAAAAGGCTTCTTTGGTTAGGCTGTTTTCAAATTCTACTACTTGTCACACATGGTAGAGATGTGATTCTCAGGCACGCTGTCCAAATGAAGAGTCCATCCTACGAACTGGAGGCCCATGCCAACCAGTTCACATGTGACCAGTTCTCCACCGATAGGATTGTACTTCATCAAAGTCATTAGCGAAGCCGAGGGAAAAACAACTTGCCCACTCATCCGGGCCAAACCAAAAAAAACCAAGCCTGTTGCCGTCGAGTCGATCCCAACTCATAGCAACCCTACAGGACAGAGGAGAACTGCCCCCAGAGGGTTTCTAAGGAGCACCTGGTGGATTCGAACTGCTGACCTTTTGGTTAGCAGCTGAGCTCTTAACCACTGCGCCATTAGGGCTCCCATCCAGGCCAATACATAATTAATTTAAAACAAACACATCTACTTCCCCACAACCTGGTTTCATTGCTTTCAGAGTATAAACATGGGGAGAGGAGGCTATTGGAGTGGGAAGGGGGGTAGATATCAATATGCAGGTGCTGGAAGTTCTTGGCCTTCACTTACAGGGCTGGAATAATAGAATCCCACGTTCACCAAATACCAACACGGAGTTCAGCAGAGCAGCACACCTGCAGGCATGTTAAATGATTGATTTTCTTTCTCGCTGATCTTATTATATACATTTAGAAAAATCCAAACTATCTCATGTAAAGAGAACAAATTAACCATCTTGAAGTGAGAAATGCATGACCCCCAGCCCCAACACACACAAAAAAAACAAAGCTATGAAAATAAACAGAATACAGGTAAGATGCTACTGTTAGCTGCCATCGAGTCAGCCCAATTCACAGGGACCCCATGTATAATGGGATCTGACTGTCATGATCCACAGGGTTTTTATTGGTTGATTTTTAGAAGCAGAACACCAGGTTTTTCTTCCCCGTCTTAGTCTGGAAGTGTTACTGAAACCTGTTCAACATCATAGCAACTTGTAAGCCTCCCCTGACAGACGGGTGGTGGCTGCACGTGAAGTGCACTGGCAGGGAATCAAATCCGAATTTTCAAGGCTGCGACGTTTCAAAAGCAGATTGCCAGGCCTG